TCAGAGTTTTTGTTGTTGCACATAATGTCCAATTTTTATTTCTTTAAGAATGTATTTTTTTATAAAATTAGATAAATCTTAGAAATAACAGAAATCAAATTTTTACAATCAATAAAATAAAAAAATATCAAAAAAATCAAAATATAATCTTGAGTTTTAGCTCTAACTTCCTTAGGAAGCATTTTCGGACATAGGTCCATAGGAAGTTTTCTTCTTATTTTGATCTGAGGAATCATCCCACGAAATATTTTAACGTTTTTTTTTTCCGATACCCTGTATATAATTTTGCATTAGGCCGATCTCTTCTTACTGTAACTTTCCCGGAATTACCATGTTGGTTTTAATATTAGAGTGTCTAAAATGAGATGTTACTTGACTGAGGATCCGTCTGGGGCACTTAGAAGGATTAGTTGTTCCAAGTGTGTTTTTAATCAAAAACAAAGAGAAAGACATATTTAATTTCCCATCTACAATCGGAATATATAATAAAAGTGAGTTGTTCAAGAGAAAGATTAACAATTGCATGTCTGAATAAAAGAGGAGGGCAAATAAGACAAGTGGATAATTTCTTTGGCAAATGCAACTGTTGAATAAAGCATTGAAGAAGGGCTAGAGCGGCGGATCTTGGCGATATCACGAAATCGTAGTTTGTATTTAAATTTTTATTGTAGGTATAAGTAGATAACCGGTGGTTAGAGTCGAGATGATTCGCCAGTAGCCGTCTAGTTAGTTATGCATTTATGTATATATTTGCGGAGAGTTGAAATACACGACTGGCGGCCATCTTGAATTGATTTCAAATCGATATGTCATTATATTAATTCCGATAAATAACGAATGAATGCTTACCAACCTCTGCCATTATTTCCGATCGTGATTTCGCGTTCTACTTATTTGTGAATTTTAAAAAATGACAGTTTTTATTCCTCTCCGGTCTCGCTCCGTTCCCCCCTCTCGTGGCTTTTACAGCAACTCGTACATATTTATGATTTTCAGAGTGCCCGTGAAACGAGCCTCGATGGACATACTTACTCATTATTTTTTATTGATGCTAATTCGACGTTCTCCAATATATTGAGAAAAATGCTATTTTGAATACTATATCAGACTTGATTTCCACCACCAAAAACGCTCTCTATAAATTATTTATATTTTAAACAAATAAAAGACTATAGTAGCTTGTTTTTTATTTTTATGCACACTCGATTGATTCATGCCTGCATTATTACACACTATTTATTATAATTACAATAGATGGCGGTATTAATAAGAAAAACTCACGACTGTAATAAATCTGAACATACAGCACCCATCACCCACCGTAATTTCGTAATAACTTATTTAAATGGATGTACAACGAACGAAGGTCCAGGTACTTAAATTATAGACTTTCAATAATATATCGCATCAGATAGTTTGGAAACGTTTAGCTACATTCCAGAGTGATTATTTGATATTGTATAGGTAGCCTGTTTATACGTTGCTCTCTGATAAAGTTATTTTTGCTAATTAGTTGCAAAAAAATGAAATTGCTGTGTCATTTTTACATGATTTATGACATGTTCATTTAATTACCGGAATAACAGTTTGAGAATTAGTGAGGGAGGATAGGCAGCCTAAATAATTGAAACTTGTTAATAGTTCAACGGAATAATTGGGTATTCCTGATAATTATATTCCCAATGAATTTTTTAAAAGAGAAAATCTTAGTAATTACATTATCCCCTTGCTATAATTAAAGTTTCCAATTTAATCATATTTAATTAAGAATTTATCGTTGTGCCATACTTAGCCGTTGTTAATAAAACATCAAGTGGAATTTATTTTAATAATTGTTTCATAACGTTTGCAATATTTATTCGACAAAGCGGCAACATCTCGATTCCTAGTTTATTACTGGTTAAATGTAGGATACATCCGGGACAGGCGGACACATCAGAATATTTATGTATTTACGAGAAAAAAGGTCATACAGCAGCTTTCGCAAAATGCGGTTCAACTTCCCCGAACTTACCCTAATTTCAAATTTTATTTGAAAAGCTAATTAATAGACAAGGTCTCTGTGAAGTTTGACTCTATTTAGAATTAAACACAACTAAATTCGAACGAATAAATCAATCGGTATTTTGGAATTTTTAAAATCTCAACTTCTACTTCAGAGTTTTTATTTTAAGATTTTTTTTTAAACTTTAACACAGAAAAACAGGAATACTGGATTTTTTTATTTTTTAGCTTATTGGAATGCAACAAATTTTTGTTTTTAAACTTAAAACATCCTCTTTCAAACCTGATTCTTTTAAATTCTTACATTCACAGTCAGAATTCTTTGAATTTTTTTTTAAAGTTTAACGAAACAATTTTTTTTATTTTTTAGCTTAGAATTGCCAATGTTAAGCTTGGAATTTGAAATTAAGTTCCAAAATTTTACCAAAAAAAAGTAAAAAATTCTTCATGTAAAAGTTGTTTGTCTAAWGTAACATTATTTATTCTCAATTTCTCTTAGGTGCAATTTGAATTCCAATTTTACAGAATATTTATAGATTTTTTATGTTGTCTCTTTTATTAATCTGTTTCATCAACTTTGGCCTTTTTTGAAAATCTAATTCTTTGTTTATAGTTGTTTTGTTATACACAAAATGTGCAATTTTTATTTTTTAAGAATATATTTCTTTATCTTTATAAAATTAGGTAAATCTTGAAAATCAAATTTTTGACAATAGATAAAATAGCAAAAAATCAGAATCTCTGAGTGCAAAATCACTTAAATTTATCTTAAACAGAATCGATGAAAAATATAAGTTATTTTTTGATTTTGCCTTTTTTTGTTTTGTCATAAATTTCAATTTTTTTTTTATAATCCAATTSTTCATTTATAGTTATAGGGTGATTATTATAAATGATAAAAATGTGTAATTTTCAGTAATAACCTGTTTTTATTTTTTTAAGAATTTCTCATAAACTTTTA